AGGATATGGATGAAAATAATTATAAAGAGAAGGGTAGTGTAAAAGTATTATTTTTTTTCATATAAAATAAAGAGATAGGTTATTTTTTCTGTCTATCTCTACTTATTATTTTTCAACATCGTTAGATTGTAATATAAAGAGGAGAGAGAAAGATAAATGTTAATTAAAATTATGATCTAATAATCTTTTAGAGTGGTCAGTAAAAATAGACAAAAAAAAAAATAGATAAAATAATTTATCCCTAAAATAAATAATGTACCGAACACTCAATGAGATGAGAGTAACACCGAAAATATCTTCCTGCTAAACCTTTACATAAATTTTCTGAGATCCATAAATAGATAGAGAGAGAGAGAGACAGTAACAGGAAGTTATAAGAGAAAACACTGTTCTGAGGGCAGATTAGGATACGGCCAAAAAAATTTGCCCTTTTAACTTTCTTTCTAATGTCTGGGCTAGCTGCTGCATAGAATACTAAGAAATAGAATAGAGAAAATTAAAGAAATCTGGAATGAGATTTCAAATTCTAACACCCCATATAAGACTTTTGAATAAATTTGAAGTTTTTCAACAAAATGGAATTTAGTTCTTGTGTATCGATCCTAAAACTTTACAATTCACAAATTTCAAACAAATTAGAAAATCTCATCTAAAATTTATAAATTAAAATAAAAGAAAATGATTGGTAGATTACAATTTGAATTGAAGACAATGATAGGTTTGAAATGAAAAGAAATTTTTATTTAATATATGAATTGGAAGTAAAGGTATATTATTCAGTAAATTAGAAGTCGATTCAAAAAGAAGTTCCCGTTATGAAACTGAACTAAAAGTTGAAACTTTTTTAGATTCCTTGTCTCTGTGTATGAAATAAGCAAAGCCAAACCGGTTGAAGGGGCACTGCAGTTGATATTCTGAACCAAAACAGTAAAACATTGCCTTCTTTTTTTGTTAGCTGCTATGTAATAGTTGTAGTACTGCTTGTATGGTATCCGATTCTTCTTTTCTTTTCCATTGTTGATTGTTGACCTTTGACCACATGGAATTGAATTTTGAGAATACCCATATTGGGTCGCAACTCTAAATTTTTGACATAACACCCCAAAGTTTGTTGTGGTTCCAAAACTTGTATATGGGCTAGTAACCTTTCTTTAGTTACCACTTATGATATTTGATATTTATTGTGTTATAAATTATATTTGTATTTCTTATTTTATATATTATTTTTATATTTGATGTTTTTTACCAACCTTATTATATAAAAAAATTAAATTATTCTCATCATAAATAATAAATCAAGATAGGTAAGTATAAATTCTCCATCCAAAGGGTGTCAAAAATAATGAATACTAATAAAAATAAATGAGAGTTATATTTACAAATTTTTTATTTACAAATTACACTATATACTTTCAGAAATATATTAGGTTATATTATATATTTTCGATAATACATAATATAATTTATAAAAATTTATAAAAAATTTTATAAATGAATTCTTTTCCATAAAAATAAGTGTAATTAAAGAAGTAATGATAAATATACAAGTCATAAATTCTGTTGAAATGCTCAACAAAGTACTGTATGGTATAATTCATTAATTAAGCATATTCTTCATGTCTGACCATGTTAAATTTAGAAAGATGTGCTGCTAAGTATTGAGAAGATATTTTCCTTTTACTTCGAAACCCGTAGTCGTAGCAAAATCTTTTATAAGTTTATTCACCTATAACTTTTAACTTATATTAACGGGGAGGGTTATATGTATTTATTTTTTTTACAAATTCTTATAAATAAAACTATTTATTAGGTGTAATATATGCTAGAATATATTACTCTTAGTACATTATGTAGTTTGTAAACTAATAAATTTGGGATATGAATCTTCTTATGTGAAAAAAAAAAAACATAATATGTTCGTGTGAGGAATCATAATCATATAAAGATAGAGTAATGATAATAAAAAAAGAGAGAGAAAACTTAATGATGGTAGCTCAGTTGGGGCCAGGGAACTGAACAGATGGAGGTGAAAGTATGTGTTCTATTTGGGAGGGGTTTAAAGCCATAATCTCAGGACTCGCTCCGAATCGGACTAATCGCGAAGGGATGAACCGATTGAAATATCTCCAAAAAAAGAAAGAGAAAAAAAAATTAAAATAGATACTTAACAAATCAAAATTGTTGATTCACCTTTGTATGATTGCGACTTTTTTAGTGACCATATTATATGTTTTCTTTTCACATAAGATGATCTATTTTGAAAAAAATTGTAAATATAATTTTTCTTTTTTTTTTGAAGTTACCCAACCCTAATGATCTCTTTGAGACGAGTTGGCTCCCTCCGGTATCCCCACGAGCTTCGACTCTTTGAGCCGGCTATGGGACTAATCCGGAGTGCGGGGGAACAGTGATGGCTAAAGGTTCAGCCCCCTCCCCAAGAATGCATTCAGCGATATAATTTTTCTCTATGTAATAACTAGTAATACCTAACAAGTTTTCAAAATATAAAAATAAGAATATTGTCGTTTCGTGGTTATTGTTACCACCAATATTCTTTGACTCTACCTTCGATATTTTTTACATAAATTTAGATTTTATTTTATTTTATTTTCTTCCAAAAAAAATATTAGTAAAATTATCTGATTTATTATTATAACTCTTCATGCATATATTAGAAATGAACTTGATTCTCAATAAAAATAAGGGTCTTGATGATTTTATACCGGTATAAGTTACACTTTCGAATTTGGTTATTAAGTTTATTTATATATAATGGCTCAACTTATTCGATATGTGAGCTACAAGCAAATTAATGACAAAGATTAATGTATGACTTTTTATTCTTACACTGATATAGAAGTAATTAACTTGTCCCTAAAATTAAAAGGTTGCTAGTAAAAAATTCATTATCTGTGTAAGATGACTTAGGAAAAAGTTATTGTTAACTCTAGATGCATTTCTTGTCAGTAATGAGTTTGATACTTCAAAATGAAAAAAATTTAAATATATGCATTTCAAAAAAAAAAAATTAAATTGATTTTAGACTTATAAAAGTTGTGAATAGGAAACGATAGAGTGTAAAGGTATAATAACATGAATAAATATATTGTATTTCTTTTCCAAATTAAGCATAAGTTAATTTGATGGTAAAAGTTGAATTTGTAGATTACATACGATAGAATTATACTTTAGTGTGATCTTGAGCCTTTGATCGATGAATGGGATATATAGTTATGTCAGTCTCTTTCTTTTTTTTTGTGTGTGATTTTTGACACTCTAGAACTTATTTTGTTTCTATTTAAAGTTACATTTTTCACATGCACATTTAAACATGGTTAAAGCATTCTTGTTTGAAATAATCACTTAGCAAAGTAGCCAACCGTATTATTATTATTATTTTTATTAATCCCTTTGAGTTTTGACCATTTCTTATTTTCAGCCCAATAATTACAAGCCTTGAGTGAAAAACAATATTTCTACCTAAGCTTAGGGAATAGAAGAACATTGTCATAATCTTAGCGAAAAGGAAAGGGTGGTCAATGTAAAAAAGAGAAAGTATATATATTCGTAGCAAGGAAAAAGAAAATAGATAAATAAATAAATGCATTTTAAGGTATGTGATTCCTCTTTACATGAAAATTTATTCTGAATTATTCTTTCTATTTTGTTTGTCTTTTAGATTGTTATGTCCATATTATTTCCTTTTCATATCTTGATTTCATTGATTATAACTTTAAATAAAGTCCTTTTAATTAGCATGCTAGTTGAATTGAAGAATTAGAAGGAAAACTTATAGTAGTATAGAATTTGTGAAGAATTAAATCATCATTTTTTTTCTCTCTCTCTTTTCTTCTTTTCCATCAACAACCCTCAAGTAATATGTGTAGTCAAATTTTTGTGTAAATAACACTCCCCAAAATATATACTTTTAACTATTGGACTTGTTTTATTCCACCAAGACTTTCTGATTTTACTACTCATGTCAATTGTCATAATTCGATATTTTAAATGTATTTTATATTTTATTCTCAATTAACATTCCTTTATATGTTTGGTTTCCTTAAATCTGTGTTAATCAAGCTAAATAATTATGTCTTGGAAGTGGATATATAGTGGATCACCCAAGAGCATATTCAGTCACATCTATAAAGATAAGCTGAATTTACACATTGGAATACACTTGAAAAACTACCCACAAACAATTACAAAAAAACATACATCTGATAAGTAACCCTAACCCTTTTCCAAGGGATAAATGGTTGGATTGAGGAAGAAAAAAAAAAAAAAAACCTACAACATGGAAATAAATATATGCCGAGTAGCGTAGCAAGACTATTATGTAAATGGATATGACAGCAATAGCAGCATAAATTGAAATCCTCTTCATGCCAAAGCTAAAATGCTAAATCTGATAAAATTAATGCATTGTAATCAGGGTTGGAGAAAAGATTCAATTAATTATTTTTGTTAATTAAAAACAGGCACTAAGACTATTATAAGATATATATTAATGAATTTGTACCATATGTCAGTGAATAAATATATTAAGGGGTGAAAATAAGCAGAAACAAGAAAGAGGTAACATTTTATAGAGATGAAATACACAACCATTTATGAAACATTGTTTTCCATATGCTAGTAGATGGAAGATACCTTATCACATTACATGCCAAAAGGAAAGTAAAGAAAATACACAGCATGATTTGTATCTTATTCATCTGACACATAAAAAGATGATGATTGGTGCAAATGATGAGCATAGATTAGATGTGATTGTTGTACGCCTCCCAAGGTTTTCCCAATGACTGGAATTCTGCAAATTGATGCTGCAAACAATTTTATGAATGAATGATCAGAAATATATTACCTATGCACACTTTGATCTTATGCATGGTTGTCAGTGACACAGAACATGCTAATTGAAAGACCAAAACCATATTATAACATATGAACTAATTTGAAACCTTATAAACTTCTTGAAGTTAACTAATTAACAGTGATTAATTTGAACTTACTTCTTGAAGGATAATTCCAGAGTTATTGAGAGAATTGAACATCATAGTAGTTGGGCTCCATTTGTTCATCATCACCAAAGAATCTTCATGTGTCATATCCTCTATGGTTCCCAAATGCTCCTTTGAGTGAGAACATGGTTCTTCAGCCTCAGCCACCACATCCAAGCTTTGATTCTGTGTACCTGCAGGTTCTTCTACCGTTTCAAAGGGGTTCCATGAACCCAATCGGTTAAGGTTATTGTTTGTTCCTTCATTGCATTGTTTTGATTCATGAACTAGTCTTCGACTTTTAAGCTTTTCTTTTGTCCTTTCTCTTGCCCTTTCCCTTGCTTTTTCCCTTGATTCTTTACCAATAGGATTCAATGCACTCTTTCTAGAAACCTTAATTCTTCTCTTCTTTTCCCCTTCTTGACCTTGATTTCCACTAACCGCAACCTCATCCAAGCTCGACACACCTTCACATTCAGAAGTTGAAGATGCACTCTTAGCACCAAAACTGCTACAATAATAACTGGGATGATTCTTCTCTCTAGCAAGTTGTTTGATTTCAACTTTTGCTTGGTTCAGTAACCACTCAACAGTTTTGCTAGCTTTATCAAAGCCTAGCATGTCTTGAAGGCCAAAAAACCTCTTTGCAACTTCAAGTGAAAGTCTCATTCTCCGATCCCTGAGTCCTCGAGCTGTGTTGATCTTACTGTGTCGATCTCTCTTGCTAGATCTTTTTCTTGGTATCTGCTCCATTGTTGTTGTTGTTGTTGTTACATGGCAAGGATTCTTGATGTTAATAATTGCAGCATCCATCTCAGCTAGAGATTGTTGGTGATGATGAGGTAAGAGATCATCATGGTGTTGTTGTTCAAGGAAGATTTCGTTGTCTTCAAAGGGAGAAGGGAATTGAAGAAAGGACAAAGGAGGAAGAGGAAGAAGGGCACAATTGTTTTCTTCTTTTGAAGATGTGTTGCTTTCAATGGAAAAAGGCCTATAGAAAAATGGTTGGTTAGAGTAGGAGATTAGGTCATTGCCGTTGATGGAGCTATTTGACGAATACATGATGAGAATCTCTTTAAGCTTAGATTGCACCCAAAAATAAAAATAAAAATAACCCTAGTCTTGTTGTTGCTGTTGCTGTTTGGGACTTTCAAAGCCTGAGAACGACATGTTCATGAACAAGAGCAGCTATTCCATCCTTTTCAGTTCATTTTAGTTTTCCTGTTCCCTGCAAAGGAAAGGAAGACACGCCTTAATTACTGTTTTTTTTACCTCGAGGATGAGTGAGAGGGATATGGTATGGCTGGTGCTATGATGCACCGTGTGTATGTTTTTTTGTTCTTGTGTTGTGTGTGTGGAGTGATTGTATTGTACAATTGGCTTCCTCGAGTAAAGTAGTACAGTTTGAGAAGGACAACACAGAGACAATAATACCTTATGTAGGCATGAGGGTTGAATTATGAGCCGAGAGAGAGAGAGAGAGAGAGAGGAAGAGAGGTGAGTAAAGATACTTGTAAGAGATAAAGAACCCCAACATGAGCAATTTATTGGAGACAAAGGGCTATGCTTTTTCTTAATCGTTTCTTTTGAGCATAAAGTTATAATCTCTTTTAGAATGATAAAAATGGGAGATGTGAGTGGATAGCAAGAGCTATAATTTGTGCCACTTCACGTGGTGGGCACAGAGATTCGAGTTGACTGAAAACTAAAACCAACTTCTTCACCCTACACATCCCTCACATTGGAAAAATTGGGTGATTTTTTTTTTTTTTTGGAAATATGAAAAAATTTCTTCCACTTTACTTCTTTTCTTCACTTATATTTTTATCTATATCCTAAAATTTTCAAAGGGATCACTTAATTATTGATGTTCCTGCACCACTGAAAATTTTCTCCGCACATTGGCTTCCCCTGCACCATATACCTTTAATTTGCTAGTCTACCAAGCTCTACATTGACCTTGCATGGACTAAATTCATATTCATCCTTGTCCCACAAAGAGTGGTGCGTAGGAATAAACCTTTAGTATTCCCATAGTACATATTCCTTTTCTAAGAGAATAAATAAATAGGATCCATATGTTACATTAATCATGAAAGAATAAGTAAAATAATCACAATTAAGTGGATTACTTTCTAAATTTTAATAGGTGATGTATTAAATTTAATTAATGTATAAGTATCGAAGATACTTTTGTTCAGAATTTGTCACACATATGCCCAGTCAATTGGGTCGGTCATCAAGGCTCTTATAAAGAGTCATATCCTTACATTCTTAAATTGAGATGAATATTACTTCACCATACTTAATATGGCTTCTCATCACCACACTTAATCTGGCTTCTCATGCGTGCGCACCTCATTCATCAAGTAAGGATGTTTGCCTAACACTTAGTGAGTCCTACAAGGGCCCTTTCACTCCTAATTGGAGATCTTGCCCATGTATATATTCCTCTTCTTCCATTAAAGAGGCACTAATTGCATATACACTAACCTTATTGTTATTCTTTTGAAATATAACTTTAAGAAACTCCCTCTAACTTTAAGAAACTCCCACTAATTGCATATACAGCTACCTCTTGGTTGTTTGTGAGAAACACTTTCTTCTTGAGTCCTTCTTTTATTGGAAGCTTGCTAGGCAGTGGTAAGAAGGAGGTTTTCAAGTGTTTTCATTATTTTTCTAAGACTGTAATGTTGTCTTGAAGTTAGGTGAGAGGAGTAATAATAGAGGAAGAGATGAAGAGAGAGGGGGCGGCCAAGACTTGTTGAAAATAATCAAGTATGAGTTGTAAAGAAGTACCACATAGACTAGACATAGACCAAGTGATGACCATATAAGTGTGAAAGACCCATAAACCTGCAGCCTTAAGGTTTTGGGTTAAGATGTGGTGTCGGCCCACTTATTATGGTTTGTCATTTGGCCCATTGGTGGATGTACCCTTTGCAAAGGGTTTTGGGCTCCCTCGTTTCATTCCCAACAGTGGTATCAGAGCCAATGATCTGGGCTGGGCCAAGTGTGTTTGGAAGGCCTCTGCAGAAGGCTAGTGTGACCCTAATATTTGAAGAGAAAAAAAAGACTTCCGCAGAAGTTGACCTTAGAGTAAGAATGATATTGGGTCTCACACTTGAGGGAGGATGTTGAAAATAATCAAGTATGAGTTGTAAAGAAGTACCACATAGACTAGACATAGACCAAGTGATGACCATATAAGTGTGAAAGACCCATAAACCTGCAGCCTTAAGGTTTTGGGTTAAGATGTGGTGTCGGCCCACTTATTATGGTTTGTCATTTAGCCCATTGGTGGATGTACCCTTTGCAAAGGGTTTTGGGCTCCCTCGTTTCATTTCCCAACAAGACTATGATTACTAGTCAAGAGAGGCACCACTCTTCTTTTCTTTTTTCATATTCTTAGCCTTTTTCCAAGTGACTCTCTTATTGAACCTAGGTTGATATATTTGTCACACTAAATCACTATTACATTGACATACTTTACCCATAAAGAAAAAAGCATATCTATCTTCACTATGTAAGCAGCTCATTATTTTCACTCCATAAGGCACGAAAGTGGGATGTCACTTTTTATGGGAAGATTCATACAACACAAAAAAAAAAAAAAAAAAAAAATCATTTCTTATTATTCCCTTTGTCATCTTTTTTAAAAAAATATATATATTCTAATTGATTCATCATTTCGCGATTAATCCGATTCGGGACGGATCCAGGATTAATCTTTTAAATCCTTCTCAAAGATAATACTGAAAATGATTAAACACATATTTTCATCCCTCACCTATTAATTCAACTACCATGCATTAACTAAGCTACTATTATTTAATTCCCTTTATCACCTTTAATTATAATTTTTCATTCACTGTTTTAAACCTACACGTGTATGTGTGTCTCTAACCCTTAAAAGAAGATAATGGTGGAGAGGAAGTACAATTATTTCCATCCAACGGGCTTGCAATGGTAGACAACGCTATCCCTTTGACTGGGGTTGCTCAGAACGTCACTTTCACCAAAAAGAGATGCGCCATCACTCACTAACTCTCTCTCTCTCTTCTTGTGGTAGATCAATGTCCATGTATCTATCCATCTATCTATCTATCTATCTGTCTATCAAAGTCTATTAGAGAGAATGTTGTTGGTTTTCCTTTCCATGCGTGCTGCGTGCTTATCAGTTTCGCTTACATGATAATAGCTTAGTAGGCACTTTTTTTCTTTCTCTATTTCGCTTTCTACCTCTCTAGCAAGAAAGATTGAATTGCTTGTGCAGTTGTGAAGTTGTGCTATTGTACTTGCCACTGACATATATATATATATATATATATGTATGTATATATTCCAAGCCCTAATAACCAATTGAAAGTTGCCATGGATCGAAAACACCCCACATGATATATATCTCAACTTGTCGTCAAAATGGGAATAGTCCATCCACACTTGAAAGCACACAAGAACACCAAAAATGTTCTGTTTTTCCCCCCCTTTCGCTGTCTATCTTTCCATTTATACATGCCGTTCTCCCCACTTATCTTCAAGTACCCTTTCTCTCTCTCTCTCTCTCTCTCTCTCTCTTTCTTTCTATAGCTATAGCAGTCTCGATCGCAACCACTTTAGACTGGAATAATTACTAGGAACACACGATATATGGCAAAGAGCAAAGGGTTGTTCTGGCGTTGCTTTCAAGCAGGAGATAACTATGACAACAAAAAAGCAGTGATGAATATGTATAATGAGGACATAAATATCTGGGAGTGCATGCTTGGTTCTTAGACCACAATAAATTCCTCTACAAATTAATGTCATTGTTCAACCTCCAAGTGCTTTAATTTCATTTCTATGTTGATGATTTTTCTTCTTCTTCTTCTTTTTTCTTGTTTGTACCAGAAAATAGAAAAACTATAAAGGAACCAAAAAAAAAAAAAAACTTGTGGTTGAAATTGCAAGCCTTCAACTCCTTTATCTTAAAATTTTGCTAATTTTTTTTTTTTTTTTGAGAAAAATATTGCATGACAATTATTATATAATTTTACAGAGATAACCATTGTGGGATTCATTATTTTTAAAATAAAAATAAAAGAAAATAAAATGTAACACAAGTATTTATGTATGTGTAAAAAACTCAAATTTTATTATGCAACATGACAAATGCAAAACTTTTTTTTTATCGAAGAAACGTATGTATTTGTGGGATTTAGGAGATCAACCATTTATAAACATAAAGTTAACTTATAATTTTATCTAATCTCATTTAATTTGATTGCAAATGTTAAAGAATAATATAAATCATTACAAATCTCATCATCACTCAATAACTTAAGTTTTTAAGTGGAATTAATTTTTTATATAATATCATAATTTCACTGACTACAAAATCACAAGTTCGATCCTTAACGCTCCTTACTTTCTAATAGAATTATATAAACACAAAATAAATCAAATAACTTAATCTTTTGAATTGAATTAATTATTTACCAACTTAATTAGAACTCTAATTAAGAATAACAACTCTTGCCATTTCCACCAATAGTTTGTTGGTGCAGCTATTTGTATTATATAACAATATATATTGTTTAATTAATATAAACTCTTCAAAACAAAATTCTGGCTAATTTTGTGCGGACTTAAACAAAGGCGTTGATAGTGAGGTATTTGTCATATTAAAAAAAATAAAAAAAACAATTTCCATTGACTCGGAAATTAGTTTTGTGCTAACTTTTCAGGAATTTATTGCAGATTCTTATTGGCAACAGCCAACAAGCCCATAATGCATTTTCTCCTCAAGTGGAAAATATCTGAAGTTCTTGATTTCCAACCAGGAAATATGTATGATACATGTGGGTCAGAAGAAAGGACACAACTAGTTATTAAATTAGGGCATTACATGAGCTATTCTGCAAACTTTACATAAAGGAGTGCGCCCTAACACCTGAGGTGGCTACATAGATTTTTTTCATTGGAGTATTAACTTGGCTTTTCCCACTCAACATCATAACTTGTTGTCATATGTTCTTTGAAATAGCTAGACACCAAGGTACAATTGTTTGGTTCTTCTTTTG